TTTATGCCTACATACGTACATGCAAGTACTCATGCATGTAATATATACTCTAGATATGTCTTCAGCTCTACATTTATCAGAAAACGAAACAGTCTAACGTGTAACTGAAACTGACGACGCCACATCCAGGAAGTTGCTGAGGTCCGTACCTGAAGCATGCAAAGACTCATGCACGAAAATACACGCCACCATGGCGTGGTGTTCTGCTCCTTTTAGGGTTTCGCGCCTCCGCAGCTTTGCCCCAGCCGTGGCGAGCAGCTTCTTTGCAGGGCTTTGGGTCAGCCAACGTCACGTTTCAGAGTTTGGGGTTTCCCACCCATTCATGTTGCTTAGGGTTTCAGCATCTCCTTTTAGGGTTTGAAGCTTGTCAGCAACAGCTCCTTTGCAGGCTTGTGGTGAACCAGCATCTCCGTTTGGGGCTGGGCAACCAGCAAGAGTTCCTTTTGTTGAGGTTTGGGTAAAGTTTGCAGCATCCCCTTTTACGGGGTTGGGTTTATCAATAGCCGCTACTTTGCAGGTTTTGGGTTAACAGATTCTTTTAGGGTTTCGCGCCCCGGCCCGGCTTGCGGCTCTGCGGCTTTGCTGTCCGCGGCCTGCAGTGCAACAAAAGGCTTCTGCTAATTTTTTAGGGGCGACGACGCGTTTGGATAGCGGCGGCGATCGCATCCGACCTGGGTTGCTTTTTGCACCCGGGACCTGAGAGAGCACTGGGTGACCACTCCAAGAATTTCCGATTTGGAACAATAAAGCTTATCAGTATCACCGGCCATTTTGAAACCCAGTACGCATATCACCGACACAAAGACTGAAGTAGTGTTCGCCCCCAAAAAATCAGGCGAGACCACGGGATAATCGTCGTAACACAGCTGTCACAGCGACGTTAGCACATCCACTTTCGTGCATGACGTGCTGCAGAAGCCGATGCATGGTTGAAGTCTAGCACAGACCCACTTGAACCGAAAGGCAATGTGTGTGTGCCAAACATATCCCTTTGGCTCACTCGAACCTCTTTGACGGCCCCCCGATGGACTGAGCTCACTGAACTAGTCGATTATTGTAAAAGGCTGAAGCTTCAAAGATACGCTTTTTCAGCACTGTCAAACGGGGAGAGCGAAGTGCTCATGAGGCAGTGGGCCTCCATAGTGGCGGTGTGCCACGTGTGCGTGTGCGCCTGCGTGCAGCTCGTACTGTTTGCCCGTTTGGCGCGGAGTGGCAGGAACAAGAACGTCCCAGTGCTTCGATTATTACGAAGAATATTGGATTTGACATTTCATTTATATGATTGAAATCTTTTATTCTGTGTCCACTACGTGGACGCCAAGATAGTCGTGGAATTCATATGCCACTTCCCAACTGCAAATCGTAGCTGCCTCTGATGCTTGCATGGTTCTGCTTACGATTTGAAAATTGTTTTTTCTGTGTAGCCAAAAGAAAGCACTTGATTGATTCGTGTCAGTTGAGGTGTTCATACGAAGTATTCCACCTAATACGTTTGCATGCAGCATACGTTGCATGCGGTTTCAGTTCTTGTGGCAGATTTTAAAGTGGCGCAGTCTTAGTCTTGTGCTCAGAAAGCTGAGCTCAAGAAACTGGTTTTTCCCACCCACTCAACGCTGGGGCGGTGTGCCACTTGCGCGCGTGTGCATGCATGCAGTTACTGGGTGGCACAGAGCAGTAAAAACAAGAAGGTCACTTCAGGTGTCAGGCGGACAGTAGTCAATTTTGTTGCTCCCCCACTGGCTACGAACGTTTTTGGTGGTTTGCGTGAACATGTCTGCTTGTTGCTGGTGTATCGCTACAGTGCTACAACTGCTACAAGTGCTCAATGTCCTTCATGGTGCGGCCAGATCATAGGGAGCCTAAGAAGTTGAAGCCAGCGTTGTTATTTGTGAGGAGATATCACCAACCCAACATGGTGTTTCAAACAAGAGTTGAAGGTCGCTGTCAAGGGCCCATTAGACGTGGGGGCCTCTTGTGCTCGGCCATGTGCTGACGATTCCCATTGCAGGCCAGGCCAGCCAACATGACCCCCCGCATTTCTTGAGTTGTGTGGTCCTGCGAGGTGATGTCCGAAACGACGGGTACCGGACTCAGGATTCCAAAGCCTACAAAAGAGACCCGTCCATGGCTGCAAGGGTACAGCGTTTTGTGTGGACCCTCTTCGATGGTGCAAGGTGTCAACGGTCACAGGGATTCGAGTGTGTTCACAGGGATCGGACGGTGTCGATGGGGGCCGCCATCTTTGTGGTGATAGTTGTCCCGTGTGGGGCCTTCACGTCTTCTTCAGCGCGAGCAAGGATGGCGACCCTGTAAAGATGCATCTGCCACGGCTACTGGCGTGCCGGGCCGGACCTCACCATGGGTGATGCTGAGCCTGCTAAGCGTCTTTCGACTTCCTCCCCGTCTCTGCTCGTGTTGGGATGCGTGGCGGTGGGGCTACCTGACCGGTTCCCCCCTCGAGTATCGAGGCGTGGAGCTCAGCTTTCAGCGTGCTTCCGTCCACTTGGTCCACGACGTGAAACGCCTGGAGGACCGAGCCTCCCTCCGACCGCACCTCCCGCACGCCTCCATGGCCACGTCTTTGTTTTTCAAGCTTCCAAAATTTGCAGGACGGCGAGGACTTGAACGATGCGTTGCTGGACTTCTTCGTGAAGCTGGGCCAGGCAAAATTCCGTCGCACTGCGGGGCCTGAGACCTTAGAGATGAGCTCCTGCAAGCTAAGGCGCTGATCCCCAATGGAAGGCAGGACACGGGCTTCAACGCAGGTGCGCCACTCTGCTTTTTCTTCCGGGGGTGGGGGGGGGGGGGGGGGGGGGCCCGACTCTTTCGGCGCAGGCCTTTCTCCTGTGGCGTACCTCGGCTCCTACTTCTATGGGATGCTGCAGAAGGGCCACGTCGGGAGCTGGGTCTGGGTCGCGAGCGCGCCGAGCGCGCCGAGCCTGGGCCGTCCTGAGCCCTGAGACTCCAAGGCCTCGGATGGCCGCGCAGGCGCGCGCCGGCGCCGGGCGTGGCTTTGGCTTTGCGCGACAGCACGGCTTGGGCTTGGGCCTTTTGGACTCGCCGGGAGGTCATGCGAACGTGGCCAACTGGGCCAAGCGGCGCCTGGGCAAAGGCGGCCTCTTCGCAGACCAGGCCCTGGGCAAGGGTCCAAGGGTCGCGAGGCGGAGGCGGCGAAAGCGGAAGAAGCGCAGGTGGGAGCCTTCGCAGTGCCCGTGAACGAGCTGCTCCGGGCCGCTCTTGGCAGTTTCGAGAAGAGCTCGAAAAGCTAGGAGCTATGCCGCTTTGCGCTGCAAGGACTATATGGGGCGACAGCAAGAGAAGCACTGGTGGCTCGCGGTGCTCGTGAACCCACGCGGAGGACCGTGGATGCGGGGGGCAGGTTTTTCGCTGGCGCACAGGCTTCCCCCGCTTTTGTCTGAGGCTGCCCGAATCAGGGCCCCGTTCAGGAGGCCAACGAGTGAGTTTTCGTTGCCCTTGAGTTGAACCTCTCCGCCATCCCCCCACCCAGGGTGTGAGTGTGGCCTGCCTTGACTCCTTCGCACGTCTGGGGCCTGGCCTGGGCAACGTCTGGTAAAGGCTGTAAAGGTGGTTTCGTTTTCGTAGAGTCATTCGCGGCTCGCCCTTTTGCAAGGCACAGGAATGCGGTACAAACCTCCCAGGTCAGCTGCAAAGCGCTGTTGCATCGGGCTTTGAAGGGTTAAAAAGTGTAGTGACCCGCTGGCTCCGGCAGGCGTGCTTTGAAAGATGGTACGATTGAGGTGGGACAGGACGTGACCGCTGTGCAACGCAGTTTCCTTAAGTACGCGCCAGAGAGGCTTACTCGGTAGAGATCAGCAGCTTCTCGCGCTCGGGCTTCGTGGCAGCTTCCCCGCATTATCGTCGCATCCCAGATCACCCCATTACCTACTGCGCCATAGCCAGTATGACACACTTTTAGATGTATAGCCTTTCTCCGCCAATCAAGGCGCTGGTCGGCTTTCGGGCTCAGGAGCCTTGCTGGGTCTCTGAGAGATTCTGAGAGTATCGGAGCGTGGTGCCGCCAAGCGCTCCTCCAGTTCCTTCAAGCGAGACTTCAAGCGCTCCCATTTGGGGAGCTCGGGAGCTCTGAGGGCCACTTTTCACTTTTCAGGGCGACGGCTCTCTGGGGCCGCTGGTGGACCCGCGGCTCTCCCGGCTGCAGGCCGTCGTTTCCGTACACAGCCCTCCGAAGCCCTTATACAGCCCTCGCCGCTGGCGCGATGGCCCACCCAGTTTGGGTTTGGGCTCCTGTCGCGGCTGTCAGTTTGGGCACCGCATCATCAAAGAGCCTGAGTTGGACCTCAAGGACTTGGCGGCTGTGCCAACGAACGTAGGACCAAGGACTCGGAGCTGTGCTTTTGGAAAGGTCCGGAACTACGGCGACTTCGGGGTGCCAGGGGTCCTCGAGGGGACCCTGGAGTTTGCCTTCGACTCCTCGACGAGGACGTTCCGAAGCGAAGTCTCTCCGGCAGCTTAGAAGTGGCTAGAGAACAAGAGGCGATGTGATGCCATGTGGGAGGATCTGCGGCGACTACATGTTGCACTACGGCGGCGTTGCCGAGTGCGATGCTGAGCAGTGCACACTCTCTTCGCTTCAGTGCGCGAATTTCGAGGTACAAGCCCGCACTCAAGCTGGAGCTCCGCAGAGAGCCCAACCAGTCACAGCAGCAGGTCTCCCGGTTGCTGGCCGGTTACTGCGGGAAGGCAGGGGCCCTTCGTGAGGTCGAAGAGTCGAAGATGAGAATTTCCTTTGAATGTCCATAGTGAACTTCAGCGGAGCTTTTAGTTTTTCTTCAGCGGAGGAGTGGGAGCTGGCGAACCCGGAGACGCCTTACAAAGACAGCCTAATTGCTGGGGCGCTGCAGCTTGCAGACACACCTCAACAGGCGGGAGACCTAGTCTTTCTTGCATCGGCTGCGTTCCGGCTTCAACAAGGAGAGTGCCCACGACTGTGGCTTCTTTATCCTGGAACAGGCCCGAACCAAAGTAGATTCCTCGGCCGGGAGTGGCAGCTGAGAATGCTGGGCTTAATGGCTATGCAGGTGCTCCGGCTGCTGCAGCTCAGCCCCACAGCTCTGAGGTCTTTGGCGCAGAGGTCAACCGAGGCCTCCGCGGCTTCTGCATCTGCTTGGCTCCGCATCGCGGATGGTCGCAGGATGTTGCGGGCTTGCCTTGGCCAGCACAGAGGGAGGTGGCCACTGGGACACATCGGACACACCGATTCTGCGCTTTACGGCCTTTTGTGGTTTTTTTGACACAGTGAAAGCCTCAAGGCCTCATGTCCCAAGCAAGGTGAAGCGGAAGAAGAAGCTGCGGGAGGTGACCGCGGACTTGTTTGTGGCAGCGCGCCGCCAGGCTCCCGTGCACCGCCGATTGCCCTGCCGGGAAGTGCTGTTGTACATTCTGCCCAAGTGCAGGGCACCGGGGACGTGGAGGTGCTACTCAAGCAGGATGAGGCCCTCTTGCAAGGTTTCATTCCATGCCGGGCCTGAGCTGACATCGATCTAATGAGCCGTAAAGCTTGCCAGAGGTCCTGCGCAAGAAGCTGCTGCTCGCCATGTGGGAAGGCATCATGAGGGGAAAGGAGTGACTCTTGTAACGCTCGGGAGCAGATCTTTCGCAGATTTGCACGGAGGCCCGTATTTTGCCAAAGCAGTCGCGAACCTGATCGGCATGGATCCGGGACCTCTTCCCGACACTCTCGCTGCGCTCAGCCTTTTTTGTCTCCAGGCTGCTGCATGTGACTCGTGCTTTCTCCGGCACCGCTCAGGAAATCCCGACTCTACCCAAGGAAGAAGAGGCAAAAAAGCACGAAGCGGAGGAGGAATCTGAGTCGGACAGCAGTGAGAGGACAGAGAAGCCCTTGCGCGCCTGTGAAAGCCGGAAGTTCTGGAGCTGGATGTTGTCAGGAGCAGCAGCAGCCATCGAAGCAGCAGCCAGGGCCTTGGTTGGAAGCGGCATCGCCGGCGCACCTAAACCAAAGATAAACCTATGTCATCCACATGTTTTTTCACAACAGGTGTTAGACAATGGCATGGGTCTTGAGGCAGTGCTTCTTCGAGCCGCAGCCGGAAGCGGAAGCACGAGGAGAGCCGCAGCCGCAGCAGGCGCGAGTGGCAGCGCGGGATGGGCCCCAGACGGCTCCCTCACAAAAAAAACTCTTCGTAGCTTTTCGCCTCGCAGGAAGCGGGCCCGCAAGGAGCGGAAGGAAGGCCACGGGCACCGGGCCGAGCGCCCGGCCCGGCCGCCCCCGCCGCCCAGCTTCACCAAGGAGGACCTCCAAGGCCAGGACGGGCGAGTTGAGAGTTTTTTGCAGCCTGCGTGCCTCTCAGGCTACCCGTCCAAGACCTTGCGGAACCTCTGCGTGCAGTACAAGGCGAAAGCACTCAAACTTTGCTCGCTCTCCTTGGGAGTCTTCTGCGCACTTGCAGGTGCTTCCTCCGGGCATGGTGGAGCGCACGGACTTGTTGAAGGCCCTGGAGCGCCTGGCCATCGTGAAGAGCGCCGTTCCCGCCGGTACGGCGGCGGCTGCCAAGGCGGTGGGCGAGCGCCTCGCAGGTGCCGCCCGGCCAGACCTTCCCAGCTTCACGACGGAGGACTTGGACACCATGCCGATCAGCAAGCTGAAGATGTTTTGCATTCAGTTTGGCCGGCTCCCTTCGGGCTCCCTGGAAAAGTCCGACTTGAAGAAGGCCCTGGCTCCTTTAGCCAAGCCGTCCACAAAGCCAAAGCAGGCCTTCAGCGTCAGCGGCAATGGGACTGCCTCTGGCCATTCACATAGCCACCACCACCACAAGAAGAGGGCCCTGCCCAGCTTCACTGCCACTGAGCTGGACACGATGCCCATCAGTCGGCTGAAGAGCTACTGCATCCAGTATGGCAAGATGCCCCACGGCCCTGTGGAGCGCACGGACTTGGTGGCCCTCTTGAAGCCCTTCGCGGGCGCCGCGGGCGCAGCCGCGGGCGCAGTGGGCGCATCGGCACCGGGGTCGCTGGGCCCAGGCTCTGCGGCCACGGCAACGAGCTTCGGCTCCCAAGCGAGTGCCAAGCCAGCAGAGGCAGACGGGGGCTCCACGACTGTCCAAATTAAACTGAAGCCCTCAACGGTTCCTGAAGTTGTCGTTAGTTGCCGTCATCCTTTTGATTCTGGCTACAATGTCTTTCCGGAAAGCCTTCCCCGGTCTTTCACTCGTGGGAGGCCGACAGCTTCGTCCTGGAGGACCTGAAGACCATGAGCCCGGGTCTTGGTGATGAGCAGCAGCGGGAAGAATGTCGATAGTTGGCGTTGCAGTCACTGCCACGCCACCGAAACAGCCACCGCTGCCACTGCTGCTACCGCTGCCACCAACACCACTAGAATGATCATGATGATATTGATGATGATGATGGTGATGATGATGATGAGGATGACAATGATCATCATCATCACCATGGTCATGGTCATGATCATCATCATCATCATCATCATCATCATCGTCATCGTCATCATCATCATCATCATCACCGCCATCATGATCATGATCACCATCATCATCATCATCATCATCATCATCATCATCCTCGTCGTCAGCATCACCAACCTCGTCATCATTAGTAGCGTCATGAGCATCATACCTTCATGCGCATCAGTCACAAAATGAACTGCTCAACTCATAAAGCGCTGATTTCCGATTGGTCTCAGGCATGAAGACGCTGAAGACGTTCTGTCTCAAGCACAAGGTCATGCCGCATGGACCTGTGGAGAAGTGTGACCTGCAGAAAGCACTGGAGCCGTTCGCCAGAAAATGCGCCTGCATGCCTCCTGCCCCGAGATTGCCCAGGTCCTGATGCTACTATATCATGCGGTGCAGTGGCAATCAGATGCAACACTTCGATCTGTCCGCTGCAGTCCTGTACTTCTCAAGGTGCCGGGATGTTAAGCACGAGACCCGTGATTGGAAAATGTAAGGAACCTGCCATCGCGCCATGTTGGCCAACAAAAGCTGCGAAGTTGCAGGCTGCAAGCTAAGTCCCGTGTATTCTTGGGAGCTGGATCGCTATGAGCCACCATTACGATGGCCACAAGACGATCTGCACGCCCGAAGACAAGGCTCCAAGCCGCTTTCAAGCAGGCATCCCACCCACAGACCAACCATGGCTCTCCCGCCAGGGAGTCGCCGGGCGCTTGGGCGGGCACACCTGGAACATCATCACTAACAGCATCTTGTATAAATCTGTGGCCTATCAGCTGGGAGCATACGGGAGCGGGAGCATCTGGGAGCACATGGGAGCAGGTGACAAGCACGAGCTCTACCTCACGCAGGCACGCAGCATCCCAGCTGCACTGGCTCCAGGGAGGCCGAGAGCCTTGAGCCATGACGTTTTCTGAGGCCGTGATCACTACATCAACGACAAAGGCGAGATCACTTCGGTGTGGTTCGACAGACGCAGGCCTTTCATGGCCTCTGAACTCCTCCGGTTGGTTGTGTGTTCGCTGAGTCTGCCGAGGCGGGTTCCGCACTCGGTCCGCGGCCTCGAGGGGGCGAACTGGAGCCCGAAGCCCAGAGAGAGAAACTGAGAACTCTGCAGAGATTTCTCCTGAGGTGCTAATGTCAAGGAGAGCCTGCTGAGTCCAGGCGCCGGTCTTTTCGAGCTTAGACACTGGTGCGCCGTGGCTTTTTGAGGCACACCTCAAGGGCCTCCTCCGAAAGCTCCGCGGAATCAGCTCTTGCAGGCACCTCTTCTCGACAATAGTTCCGCCACCCCGTGTGTCTCGTTTCGGAGGCCTCGGCTCCGCGGGACTTCGCGTTGTACTCCGCGCGGCGGCGCGAGGCCGGAGGGGGCCAGAGGGGGCCGGAGGGTCCCGGAGGCCCGGCTTTCTGCTTGGAACTTTGGAAGGTGGTGCCGCCCACGCCGGAGCATTCGGGACACCTGGACAGGACGCTTGGCACGGATCAGGCCGGGCCTTTTTTTCTTTCGGAGATCTGAAGTTGGCGCTTAAAGCGCCTGCCCAGCTGCCGAGGTGAGGCTGCGCGACTCTTGGACGCCCAGAGCGCCCAAGGCCGGAGCCGAAGCCGAGCGCTGCAGGGTTCTGCGATGTTCTGCGTTCTGCGTATCGCGGCCTTCCGAGCCCGAAGGGCAACCAAATCAGCTGCAACAACTGATTCTGATTCAAATCTCGGTCATGGAACCAGACATGGCCACACAATCCTGGCCCAAACCTCCAGCGGAGCGCAAGGGTTTGTTCGCTGCTATCTGGACCCACCCAGAAGATTGAGCACATTCATTCACGTATCATCTAAAGAAGAAGCCTGGGGGCCTGCCTCTGTGGCAGCCGCCTGCGAGCAGCGCCGAGCATTTGCAGAGTGCAGTTGATGGTCCACTGGCACTAACGCCAGCTGGGTCTTCGTTTCTGCATGGCCCTCGCCGTGTGTCCTTTGAGCTTGGCTTGGCACCTCTCACTTTTTACGTTGTGGGCAGCCACGCAGGTCCTGGATCGCAAGGAGTGGACACCGCGGCGTGGAGAAGCGCGAATGGAGCTCAAGCCCCCGCGAGAGGAGGACTCCCGGGCCCCAGGTCTCATTGCGACGGCGACGGCATCGGCATGCGCTGCCAGGAGCTGTTCAGCTCCCTGGGACAGCGCGCCGAGTCGCACATTGATGTGCAGCAGGGCAGCTTCGCGCAGCGGCTTGGGAGCTCCCGCGAAAGTTGCGATATTTCAGGAGCCTAGAAATTTGTGGATGCACTGTACCGGATTGTGCCTCAAGTCCTGCTTCCGGCCAGAGCGAACACGCGAATTTCCAGGAAGTGGACTGCCGGCCGCCCTCTTATCCCACCGCAGTTCTGTCGGCACTCCGAGGCAGGGCATCTATCTTGCTCGGGTTGAGCACAAGCTGAGCGTTGTTGTCTAGCACACTTGTGTGAGTAGGAACAAGGGCCTGCAATCTTCCGGCTCGATTCGCCTTTAAACTTCTGCTTCTGTCGGCACTCCGAGGCAGAGTGTTTGGGAGGGGGAAACTGGCCTTTTTTTCCAGAGTGTTGGTATTTCTTCACGGGTTCAATGTGTGGGAGGGGGAAACTGTGGCCTTTTTTTCCAGAGTGCTGGTATTTCTTCACGGGTTCAATGTGTGGGAGGGGGAAACTGTGGTTTTTCTTTTCCAGATCGAGCGCTGGTATTTCTTCACGGATTCAGTGTTTGGGAGAAGGAAACTGTGGCCTTTTTTTCCCAGAGCGCTGGTATTTCTTCACCGATTCAGTGTTTGGGAGGGTGAAACTGTGGCCTTTTTTTCCAGAGCGCTGGTATTTCTTCACGGATTCAGTGTTTGGGAGGAGGAATCTGTGGCCTTCTACACGGACTGAGTGTGTGGGAGGGGGAAACTGTGGCCTTTTTTTCCAGAGTGTTGGTATTTCTTCACGGATTCAGTGTTTGGGAGGGGGAAACTGTGGCCTTTTTTCCAGAGTGTTGGTGTTTCTTCACGGATTCAGTGTTTGGGAAGGGGAAACTGTGGCCTTTTTTCC